CCTCGCCATCTCTTTTCGTAATTGTAGATATTTTATGGCCCCATTGACACAATGTAGATAATTTATGAGACGGGCTACTTTGACCATACCTGTCAGAACCAAACTGGTCTGGGTAGAATACAGAGTCCCTGCAGACAGATAGAAAAGCTATATTAAAATAAACTCCCACTAGGGAAACATGCTCACATATTACGTGCGACATCAACGTGCCTAACCGCTACCGCTACCGCTACCGCTACCGCTACCGCTACCGCTACAACAAAAACGATGGTCCTTCCATCTCTGATCTCTAACCATGAAATCTGCCTTATGTCTGTTTTTCTCAATCCATCTTTATCCTTACTCTTCTCTCTCCCTCTTCTGAGTCCATCTCCCGCTCTTTGAATTATGTTGGTAAATCATGTTAATCCAAGCAGGATTTAAAAAAGGCCTACCAGGCCTGTGTATCAGAGCTCCTTACTATGTTATGCCCAGCCATGAGAGTTGTGTGTAGAGTACAGCAGGTTAAAGGTGGGCACACTGGCGTCCATCAGTACATCTTTAAAAAATATTTGATTTGATTGTTTATTCCCAGGTCCTCTTTGTGGGTGGTTGGCAGGTGCTCTGATGTGTTTTCTTCTTCTTTCTTACCAAACAACTATCGTCCTTTTATCTTCCCTCATTAAAAAAAAAAGTTTTATCTTTTGGGGGGAGGGGGTTGTTGTTTTTTTATTTCACACTATAGTGACACCTCTAATCTTTGCCACTGATATAACTTATTTGTGTTGCAAGTGCCGTAAAAATGTCACTAAAACCAAACAGGTCCTGTTGAGACAAGGCGGCCTCCAGCCCGGAGGTTTGAACTTTGACTGTAAAGTGAGGAGAGAGTCCACGGACCTGAAGGACATGTTTATTTCCCACATCGGTGAGTACCGGCCAGGCGGGAGGGCATGGCATGCAGACTGGTGTCTGTGGGGGGATGGACGGGATCTTGCCTGATGCTCGCTGATGACATTTGTTTTGATGTATGTGTGTGTGTGTGTGTGTGTGTGAGTGTGTGTGTGTGTGTGTGTGTGTGTGTGTGTGTGTGTGTGTGTGTGTGTGTGTGTGTGTGTGTGTGTGTGTGTGTGTGTGTGTGTGTGGAGTAGGGGGGGTGTGAGGGGGGAAAGTTCGAAAAGATATAAGATTTGTAAGCCCAGCTCTTTTAAGTCTATATTGGGGAGGGAAAAAAGGGGAGGGGGGGGGGGATAAAAGTTAACCCATTTTAGCATTGCTGTGAGTCTATTTCAACACAAAAGTTTGAAAATATTTTATGGTTGTAAAATACTTTTAAACTAGAACATAGTTAAATCCAGCCTAGCATTCTTGTCTTGGAGACTAACGAAGAAAGTAATACACTTTAGTTTCAAGAAAATGTCACTCAACAAAAATTATGTGAAAGTCAAAGTCTCCCAAGAACAATATGTTGACTATGAAACTTTCAAGCTGTGGACTTTAACCCCCCCCCCCCCCCCTGGCTTCAGTGTTAATCATGGCAGGCCTACGTACTTCTACATGTAAGTATACTGTGTACTTTTTTTGCCCCATGAACAGGAGCCATGGATACGTTTGCCCGTGCCCTCAAATGTGCGGCCAAGATCTTCGATGAAGAAGTGATTAGCAAACAGGTGGAGGTGAGTGTCCGGGTTTGACTGATTATAATATACAGTATATGCCGCAATATATAATTGTAGACTCTTTGTCTTGGTTAATTCATTATGAATAATTATTCATTAAAAAGTAGTCTAGACAATAAATGTAGTGATGGAAACGTTATTTGTTACTACTCAAAAGTCGGTGAGACTTGTTATATTGATAATTGAATGTTTTGTCTACTTCACTTAATAATATTTTTGATGTATATAGCCAGACATTTTTTGTGTCCATCTTGATAGCAAGGAAATAAACTCTTTCTGTGTGTCTTTGACAATGCTATAGCAAAATCTACAGAAATCACAGCGTCTGTGCTTAAGCTTAACATGTATGTTCACACAGTCTCCTTCCTCAACAATTTGCGAAATTTGACTCTAAGATCTCTGTGTGTTTTTCTCAAGGAGCGCTACAAAACCTTCCAGTCTGGCATTGGAGCAAAGATTGAAAGTGGAGACACGACTTTGGAAGAACTGGAGGTAAAAAGCATCTTCATTTCCCAATAGCTTTACTTTCTGTCAGTCTTTTCAGAGATAAAAAAAAGCAACAAAAAACTATAATTTCATTATTCATACAGATTTTTCAGTTCAATTTCCTTTGTATGAAACTTAAAAAGGCAGGCTACAACTTGAAGACTACTGTGAAATATGAAAATTATTGTGCCTGATTAGTGATTTTTGGAAAAAAATAATGATAATGATAATGATAGCTTGTCCGTCAATGTCTGACAATGACCAATACTTCCGCAGACGAGAATATTGATTTCTTTAGTGAAACAGAGGGATTTAAAAAGTTAAAGGTTACAATATCTTATGGCTTCTGCTGTGGCCAATGAGGCCAAATTCTGGCAGAGAACAGTGATTTATATATGACAGTTCAAACTGCTCCACAATGTTACTATTTCCATTGGTCTGCTGATTAGACAAATGCTACCTTAGAATTACAAATTCTATCTGACATTTTTTGCCGTTTTGAGTTACTCAGACCTTGAGGTCAGAAACAAATGTTCTCACTGCTCTATCAAAATTGTAAGACTAGATCTATTCAAAATCGTTATCAAGAGATACTCAAATGATTGCATTCGAAAATCCTTGACTTGTGAAACTCAACATTTTTTTTTACATCACATTTCTCAAAACTAGGTACGGCACAGAGCAGATGCTAAGGTAGCGAAGTGTGCCTATTACTACATCCTTAATTACCAAGAACACCAACAGCAAAATCCATCTACCCATTTAAAGGCCCTATTTGTGTATAGATCAACGAATCATGTTTGAGTTTGAGTAAAGAGAAGCACATTGACACAAAAATGACCATTTAGTTTTGTTTTAGTAGAGGTTTTACGGCGCTCGCAACTGCATAAGGTCATATGAGCGCCAGAAGATTAGAGGTGTTACAAGAGAGCAACAAACATAAAAAAGAAGGAGGGGAGATAAGGACAATAGATGTTTGATAGGAAAGAAGAAGCAAACCACACCAGAGCACCCGCCAACCACCCACGGCCATTTAGTGTTGAGGGAAAAGAAAAGTAGACAGGCAGAAACAAAAGAGGGAAAGAAAACAAGTTGGACATACAAATGGCGCCCATGAATCTGATATCTATCTATCTACATATCGCTACCTCAGAATTACAAAGTTCTGACATTTTTGTTCGTTTTGAGTTACTAAGACCATGAGGACAAAAACAAAATGAAACGTTCTATCTGCTATGCATGTATGTGTCAAAATCATAAGATTATTCAGAGGCGTTATCAAGATGTTAAAAGAATTGTGTGGTTGGTTGGAGGATGCCACTAGTACTTCCCACTTTCCTTCTTTTCTTCTGTTGTTTCTGTCTGCCTTGCTTCTCCCCAGCACTAAACGACCATTATATAGTCTCTAAGAGCTTCTCTTTACTACGACTCAAACTGTGACTGGTTGGCGGGTGCTTTGGTGTGGTTTGCTCCTTCTTTCAGTCTTATCAAACATCTATTGCCCTCATCTCCCGTCCTCCTTTTTTGCGTTTGTAACTCTCTTGCAACACCTCTAATCTTCGGCACTTATATGACCTTATTGTGTTGCAAGTGCCGTAAAACTCTTACTAAAACGAAACTAAAATCTGAAACTGTGCCTGTATGTCATTATTATCGATCCAGATATGCCTGTGCCAGTATATTATGTCACACGACGTGTCTCTCCGTGTTCTCCCCAGGAGTATGTCCTGCAGAACGGAGAGCCCAGCCAGATCTCGGGACAACAAGAACATTTTGAGAACATGCTCAACTACTACCTCTGAACTGTCCACAGGGACACACCCTGAAGCATCCTTCAAGCAAAGATTTATGCTATAAAATGGTTTTCCCCTTTAAAAAAAAATAAAATGGAACAAAATTGTCATTTTCATCAAGGCTGGTGGGGTTACCTTTTGTCAGCGATTACAAAATCCAATTTAAATTTTTTTTTTTTTTTTTTTTTTGCTTAAAAGAATGCAGTTTCTTAATCCTATTTTGTTGTGTCTGATCTTTGGTTTTAGGTAATGTAGTCCACGCAGCAGAGGGAAAACATTTCCCCCCAGTTTTCAATTTCAGTAGTTTTTGCCTCTTCTCTTTTTTGTTTTGTTTTGTTTTTCGCCATTTCTTTGTATTTTGAAACGTGCCTGTACATTTCCTGGATTCTGTCTGTGTCAATGACTCCCGAGTGTTTGTCGACACCGCAGTGACACTAACAGACAATGTACATTTGTGTTTGCTGACCTGTAAGTAAAGAGTTTCTTTCCAAGTTTTGCCCAACAGTAGACTATGCTCCAGGTACAAGCAGCATTATACACGTGTGACATAGCCAACTTGTCAACTGTCTTGTTGTAATCCTTTAGTCCAATAAACTTTTATTACAGTTTTTCCAAAGTTTGTCAAGTGGTGCTTTTTTCTAGTATTAGTATTAGTAAGAGTTTTACGGCCCAAAAAACACAATAAGGTCATATAAGTGCCGAAAATTAGGCGTTACAAAAGAGAAATAAACACAAAAAGAAGGAGGGGAGATAGGAAAGGAGCAAACCACACCAGAGCACCCGCCAACCACCCACATGATTTTTCTATACAGCATAAGAAACAGTAGATTTGGGACAGAGATATATTATATCACTTTTCAAACACTGAAGTCTTTATGTAACGTCTGTTGCAATGTACTTGGTTGTTCTAAAACTTTAAAACTAAGATTCAGCTTGAAACTGCCAATATCATATTATCATACAAATTATAATCATTAATAGGGGACTCTCGTGGTCTAGAGGTTAAGGCGTTGGTCTCTCATTCAATAGGTCCCGGGGTTTGAATCCGGACTACGACGGAAAAATTTTTTCTCTAAAAATTGTCTCCTTTCACCTCCTTTCCTGTCCTCTTACAATGTTCTATTGTTTCCACTTTCTGCCTCCACCTCCTCACCTGCTTTGCCCCCTCCTCTGGGCCCCTGACTCTTTCTGCAACATTTGTACTGCTACTCCTTGGTTCCTTCTTTAATCTTACTGCTGTCTTTCAGCCACACCCCTGATCTTAAGGCAGGTAAGATCCCACACTTTGCCTTCTCGGATGGGATAAGGGTGAAAAATCTCGGAGGTCCTGTGTGCAATTTGCACACGATAAAGATCCCCTGGTGGTCCTAAAACCGATAAGAATAGGCTTCGGCCGCCACCTGGGCAAAATTCAAAATTAATTCCTAACAAACTGAAAATGCTTAATGTGTCCCGCATGCTCTTATAACCGTATGCAGTTGCGAGCGCCGTAAACCTCTTACACAAATAAAACAAACTGCCAAAACCATATTATCTAAACAAATTATAATCATTAACCAGCTCCAGAGTTGAAGATGCATGTGGTGGTGAGTTGCCTCGTGATGTTTCCCTAGTTTAGGACCTCTGACTCCGAAAACAGGGATCACATCTGGGTGCCCCTGGCTAAGGATAGGCTAAGAACATTGTCCTCACAAAAATAACATCAAATAAAATTTGCAACCCACCACATCTAAAAGGAGCGAACGACTGAACAGTCGATCCTAAACACTCACGAGAAGCTCCTAAAATATCCCTCACTAAGAGAGAGAAAAAATTAATAAAGTAAGAGCATGCAGAATTATCAACTGACATTCAAAATCTTAGTTATAGTTTTAGTAAGCGTTTTACGGAACTTGCAACACAATAAGGTTATATAAGTGCAGAAGATTAGAGGTGTTACAAGAGAGTAACAAACACAAAAAAGGAGAGGAGATAGAGATGATAGATTTTTTTTTAAGGAAAGAATGAGCAAACCACACCAGAGCACCCGCCAGCCACCCACTTCAAAATCTTATCAGTAAAAAAAAACCCAAAAACGAATTTTTAAAAAATGCACTCAGATTTTTGAAAGGATGAACCGACACAGCTTATTATTTACACATTCTTTTTATTACAGCAAAGTCTGTAGGTCATATGACAGGGCACTTCGGCAGATGACAATGTAACCAAAAAAAAGTTTGTTTTCTTTTTTATTTAACACCGTTCACCATGAGCACCAAACACAATATGACCTGGCATGAAATATCATATGAAAAGGAAAAAAAAATCACACTGCAACATTCTCGATCACAACAATGTAAACAATATAATAATGCACCTCACACATACTTCCATTTTTCATATTAAATGCAACCAATCTGCAGGGAGCCTTGAGCAGATACAACATTTGTGTCATTTCCTCATCTTCTCCTCAATAAAATTCAACAAGAATTATTGCTTCAATAGGTTGTCTTGGAAACAATAAGTAAAATCTCATGCTGGGTGTTCACCCCTACGAACCTGAACACACACCTCAGCGCACTTTCATCATGTTTAAAAAAGGTACCCGTTTTTTTTTTAGGACTATAAAAATTTACTTTCAAATTTAAAGTACGCCAACAAACACGGTGCACTATCCTGTAACTGAAGCGTGAATGCCCACTTGAAAAGTTTACCGACAAATGCGTCAAGTTCTTCCCATTATTACAACAGATAATGTATGTCATGTATATATGTAGGCCTGTCCGTGTCCGATTCTAACTCTATATCCACCAAATTAGGTTAAACACTTTTTTTTTGGGGGGGGGGAATTCTTTTCCTAGTATCTTCTAAAACTGCTCAATATATTATGCAGAATGTTGTTTTTAACTTATTATGGTCTCACTATATGCAATGACAGTTGTGAAATTGGTGAAATGGTAAAAGTTTAATGGTTCTATCAAAACTATTAGGTTATTGAAAAGGCGCGGGCCTTACGAGTTAAACATCCATCTCTGAAAGGATCGAGCCAAACGGGACATTCGTGTAAAGGACACAACATCTGACGGAGCTGAGGTTCGAATTAATTATACGGGGCGCCCACTACGGCTGGATCGGGGCGATCGCCCGACTTGATCGCCTGAAACTGAAAACAAACATGTTTTTTTTTTAGGCGATCGAGTCGAGCGATCGGCCCGATCCCAGCCATAGTGGGCACCGCGTATTTGGCTACAGTTGTTAATAACATAAATTTGAAGTAAATCAGAGATTGACCTAATTTGGCGGATACATGGTTCGAGTCGGACACAGACGAAATACATATATATATATACACACATACATACTTTATATACATACGTACATACATACAGACAATAAATCAAATACCCCAGCTTGCCTACTTTTACAAAACCCAGTCAGGAACACACAACATTATGACATCAGATTAGGAAACAAAGAACACAATTACATGGTGTGGGGTTTTGGTGTAGTCGGCTACACTGTCCTCTCAAACTCCTGTACACCATATCCAGGAGGGTCGCGGGAAATTTAGGACAATTGACAAGCCTAACATACCCCAAAAACCCTTTGAATGGACGATGTACAAACATTTCCTTCAGCCAGATTGGTCCATAGACAATTGGGTAAAAGAAAAGAAAATACAAAATACTGGTAAGTACACAGCATGCATATATATATAAAACATGATGTAAGTTTGGAAAAGTTCCCTGTCGGGAGAACTCGTACTTTGAGCACAGAGTGTCGAGTCTACAGCCAACAGGAGTGATGAGAACAATTCTTTTCCCTGCGGCTGACGTCAGAGTTACTCAATACGCTGGTTACCACCTCTCCTCCCTGAAGGAGAATGGTGACATGGAGGTGGAGGCGGGAGATGTCTATTTTTGAGTCAAACGTGTGGCCTAGCACGACAACCTTTCTCGTTCATCTTGTTTTATTAAGGTTTTATGGCGCTCACAACTGCATAAGATCATATGAGCGCCAAAGGGTGGATGTCAACAGAGAAGCTTTTACAGGGAATCAGGCTTACTCTGCTCACCTCTCTAGCTTCAACAGCACAAAGTTTGCTTCGACTATCAAGGCACCCTGGAAATAGAGGGTCACAAGAGTGCGACAAACATACAAAAGAAGCAGAGCAGAGGAAAAATGATGATAGTAAAGATGAAGAAAGAAAAAGCAGCAGTTCCCCCTATGTTGTTCCGGCACAGTATGAGCATGACATTGATAATTCTACTGTGTATAGGAACATGTTAATATCCTCTCTTTGGGAATGGCCTAAAGACTCTTCGTTCATCTGTGGAGATAACTGGTGGGGCTGAATACATGTACACATTTTTACAAGTTTAGACAGTGTGAGCTGGCCACATTTTTCATTATCAAGGAAAATAAAATCAGGATCACGGAAAGAAATGAATGCGCCTTCCACGAGGGTGCTGCTCTTCTTTACTAACAGAAAGAACACACAGCCTCTCTCCCACAAATGCCCTCACCTTAAACAAGCAATGAAAAGCTGGGAAGAAAAACAAACAAACAACAAACAAAACTGGATATAGAACCCTTAAATTGACAACAAAACAAATGTTTCTAAAAAAAAAAAGGTTTCCAAAGAAATTGCAAACAATCCTAAATCACACTGTGCAGTTCACAGATAAAAAAACATGTTTGAGGTTTGTTTTTTTCCCCTTCATAAAAGAGGTCAGCCCAGGCACAACCCTACAGGGCTCAAACCGTAAACTGCCAGACTGTTGGATTTTCTTTGGTTTAGTCAAGTTTTCAGTTTAGGGAGGTTGCACATATACAAGAAAATTAAACTGAACAAATACAGGAAAAAAACAAACCAGCAGAGCTTATATTTTCTTTCGGTTTACCGCTGTTTTTGGAAAAACCATATCCAGTTTACGTGGACTCCGCATAAATAAGACAGCAAAGAGAACGGTTTGCATCCAGAACAGCCAGAACTTGGACACTCACAACACCAGATGTTCAGGCTGGAGAGCAAGAGGAAGACCAAGGCAATGCTGGAGTGACTCTGTGGCAGACACACTCAGAACACACTACATGTCTCTCCTTCAGGCCACTTGCCTAGCAACAGACGAACGTCTGTATCTCCCCACGGCAACCACCGGTTTCATATTTGTTTGAGTAAAGAGAAGCAAATGGACATGATGATGGCCATTTAGAGCTGGGAAAAAATTAGACAGACAGACAGAAACAACAGAGGGAAAGTCAAAGTAAAGAGAAAACTCCCCCCAACTTCCCTTTTATAATAGATTTGACTTATTATGAAAAAATGAGTTTACGATAAAATATCCACAGCAATTCAACGAGATCTTTTAAAAGTTTAAAAAAAATTTCAAATGAGGAACAAGAGAAGCGGTCAGAAAAAAGCTGACCACACGAGACCAGCAGTCAGTTATACTTGTGTACAATGTCTTGGTCTTGGGTACACACGTTTCATTTTCAGAGCAGGAATGGTAGATATTGACAAGGCAGCAGAGATCAATAGGTCATCCATAATTATATACATACATGCTATAAATCTGTAGATAAACCTTTAGCTCCACACATTTTCCTTTAACACTAACAAAGGATGTGCATAAT